GGGGGAGAAGGGAGGGAAATGCACGGGACTATGGTGGTGGCACAGGGGTGATGGGGTGGGGTGATTTGGTGATGGGAAACCCGCGGGGATTACAATCGAGATGGAAAAAAAAAATGTGCAAAATGATGTAAAAATAAACTTTGTAATAAAAAAAAAAAAAAGCCTCTGTGCAAAAGGGGCCAAGAGAGGATGGTAAAAGACAGACTAGAAGTTTTGTTGACTTGTGAAGGAGAGAATGTGAAGTAAAGACAGAACTGTAGTGAAGAAAGGGTTTCCTAAAATGGTAACAATAACAGAAGGTTTGTATGTAAAGGGAAATATCGATGAAATAAGTAAAGAGGTAAGAGAGGAGCAAGAAGCGGCCCGGCAGAATGACTCAGCAACTTAAAAGACGCTGTTATTCCTGCTGACAAACTGTGTATCATCTCCCAACTGCAGCCCAGTGTTTCTCAGTGATACAGTTCTGTAATGTCAAGTTTGTCTAAAGAAAAAGACGTAGTCATCCATATGACATAGGCTGTAAGTGAAAAGGTAAAGATTACTAAATTGTTTTTAAACAATTTAATAATTTATTATTCAATACCTGCTCCATGGCATATGAAGAACTAAAAACCCCACTGCTGCTGCTGCTAGAGCTGGTTGAGGAATCTGCGGAGCTCCCTGATGGGGTCCCACTGCCGGAAGTCTTTACTGTAAGGATTTGTTCATCAGAAAAGCCCAGCTGGTGGAGTAGCTTTTGATCTTTATTCACTGTCAGCTGTAAAAAGTGGTTTCTTAATTATTGAGAGGAAAAGGAAGAGAAAAATATTAGTATCAGGCTGAAGTGCCACACATGTTTACTTAAACCTACCAGACTATCATTTGTAAATATCTGTATATTATCCACTGGAGAGCATAACTGTTTGGCTATCTTCCACCGGACACTCCCTATGGTTTCATTACTGTGAGCCTGTAAAATGAAATCAAGTATCACCACGAGCAATGTGTTTATGCATTCACTTAAACAACTGTTAGCAAGCACCTACTGTGTACCAGGCACTGTTTGAAGGTGGAAAAACAGCAGAGAACCCAAAGACAAGAACCCCTGCCCTTATGAAACTTCCTTTCTGTTGTAATTAAAAATGTCTACCCCACACTCCAATCCCTCCCCCTCATGCATGGAATAAAATCTCAAGTCCTCTTCCACTGCAACTCATCCACTGTTTCCCCTTCTCACTGTGCTCCAGTCAGATCTGCCACCTAGCTTGTCAGTGAACAAGCTGAGCAAACTCCCACCTTGGCCTTTGTACCTGCTGCTCCCTTTGCTTGGAATGGTCTTCCCCAGAAATGGCTTACTCTGTCACTTCATTCAAGTCTTTGTTCAACTGTCACCACCTCAGAGAGACCTTCCCTGTCCATCTTTATCTAAAATGATATTTCATGTATACCCATCATTCTCTACCAACTCATCCTGCATTATATTCTTATTCTTTATAATGCACATCAGCATCTGTTATAACATTACAGATTTACTTAGGTGTCTGCTCATTAATATTTGTTCAAACAGCTTTTAGAATAGTCATTCATGCAGCTATCTCAATAGAGTTCTATGAACATAACAAGACAATATGAAAATGGTTGCAGAGGTTAATGTCAACCTACCTCTACAGTGAAGGTATCTTTGGTAGACTCATAAGTAACATTAAGAGTTAAAAGATGTCCATGAAATGAGGCACCATGAGGTAGAATAGTTCGTGGAACAGAGTAAAAATCCTTGAAAAAGATTAGGTCAAGAACAAGTCAGATGCACAGTGCCACTGCCAAACATCTCAAAAACACACAACCCACACTGAGTCTAAGCAGATGGTAAAGTCTCTTTAAAAAGAAGAGAGGCTTACCTCTATAGTGATCACATAGCGTTCTGCCAGAAGCAGCAACCTCTCAATTATTACAAGTTTAGTAGATCTATGGATTAAAAAGGTATTTGTGATCATCTCTGAAATAAACTGCTGGCTTGAGCTCAATTCCAGTCTGTTTCATCTAACCACATTACAGTTAGCACTCACTGGTCAAAGACTTCATTTCCCTTTACCAAAGGCATAAAATCTGGTTCAACCATGTCATAGCTGCAGTGCATAGATGGGCTACATAAGGAAAAGCCTGCCCTTTCCCATGATTCCTTTTTTGCTTTCCTTCTTTTAAAGTTGATCCATAAATAAAGGACCTACACCAGGCCTACTTGTCTGTCACTCCACCAAATATGAACAATCAGTTTTGACTCACAGAATTTTACAAACAAAACATGATCCATAATTCTGTGAACACATGGATTCTGACAAGGTTCTGAATTGGCTCAGAATGAGAAGACAAATGCAAACTACTATGAATACCACAAATTGCTGTTTATTTTAATTAGACTGAGAATGAGGAGGAAAAGGAGGATAATCAATTTTTCATCTGGCTTAGGTGAACATTCTTCATAGTTAAAACACACAACTTAAGAATTTGTTGTAAATTCAAGGGTTTTTAAAATACTTAAAAAGTACACTAGTAAACTCAACTATCTGTGGAATAGGAAACACAGCAAGGGAGGACAGGGCTCTAGCAGACTCTGAAAAGGAGGCCTGAGGCTTCTTTTGGTCAGGCTTATGGAATCTTATTTATCATCTGAAATATAAGACTCAAACATAACATCAGTTTATATAGTTTCAGTTACAAACTTTATTAAAGAGAGTACTACTACATGTGTAAATGAACAGATGGAAATTCATGTGCCCTTAATTTAAACATCTGTTATTTCAGAAAGTCTAGACATTTCAAATAAGCTTATTTCTAAAAGTGAGAAGAGGTACTACCATTTTCTAGCAATTGGACTGATGTGCTGATTAGTCTGGGAAATTCACCTTAAAAATAACTGGATAAACACATTTTAACAGCTGTTAAGTATGTTTACCAGAGTTCTAAATTCTTTCAATGTATGAGCTAGAACTAGAATTTGCTATTTTACTGGAAATTAGGGGCTATACGAAGTGAAATGCTGAATGAACTATTTTAATTATGACTCAAAAATGAACTAACTCACAGATAGTATTGCAAAACACAATACAGATGAGAGAGAAACTCCATCCCACATATGCTGGAACAATTATGGTCACTGAAAAGTTCTTTCAAAAATAGTGAAATGACAGAAACTATAATGTCTTGGGGCTCACATGCAATTTTGAAATCATACATTCTTATTAATGCTGTTTAAAGGTTCTATCTACTTGAGATATACTCCCAAAAATGTAGAAATGCAAAAATGTGTTAGTGTTTTAATCATAAGTTGACTCTATAATCACTTTTTGTCCTTTAAAAAGAGGTCTAAGAAGCCCTCCCTGGTGGCGCAGCAGGTTAAAGCACAGCACTGAGAATCTAAAGCTGCTTCCGCATGAGTTCGACTCCCGCCTGCCCCGGAGGTGACCACATGGCGTGGCAGACTCTCCTGACCCGCCCACTGCTCCCCTCAGCAGTGTACTTCGTAGATCTGCCTGTTCTGTTCCCCGCTCTGCCTCTGGTGAAGCCTCTCACGGCCCCTGAGCCTCTGGTCTGTACCCCAGTTCTGTATGCAAAAATAAATAAATCTTAAAAAAAAAAAAAAAGAGGTCTAAGAAGACTGAAATTTACGGGCTTCTTTCATATTAGCAAAGTATATTGCATTGTACTCAACTCATTTAATAAAGGAAATAAAGACAAATATGAGCAAGGATACTGATCCTATCCTTAATTTCTTCCCTAAAGACTAACTGTAAATACAAATAAGACACACATAAAACTGCAGGGTACAGACCATCTGAGAATCCATCAATAGAGGGCAGCAGAATGAGGGAAAGAAATTGAGCCCTTTAATTTCCATTAAAATAGCAAATTCTAGTTCTAGCTCATACGTTGAAAGAATTTAGAATTTAGCTTCCCCGGCAGCACTGATTTGGGGCTGCTTTACCAATGCTGAAAGTGACAAGACCACAGAAGAGTTTCTAAATACTCATCGTTACTCTTTACTGCACCAAAGTACAGCAAATGCTGAACTCAGTTTTAACTGATAACATTTGAAAAACAAAGCAATGCAATTTCAAGACAAATCCAGTCAAAGTTTCAATACAAATATTCGGTGGTAAAGCTGTCACTAAATATTATTTTGAGGACTATGGATCTTTTAGTAGTGGATGTATGTGGTAACAACACAAGAGGGAGATTCTGTAACCCTAAATCACATATAATGCTGTATACCAATGTTACCTCAATTAAAATAATATTTATTTTGAAAATAACATTAAAAATATTTTCACTAAGATTCTACCACGATGCACAATTTTAATCAACTACTTTCATTTCGCTTATGCTGTTAATAGTCTTGATTTCTCTATTCAAGCAGTAAAGTTATGTCTGTTAAGTACTTCAAACCTGATTATACAGTGAATATATCTTTATTTCATCATTAAGAGTTACACAGAGTAAGAGTAAAATGAATCAAATAAGTAAAAAATAAAACAAAAACAACTTGTCCACTAGGTAGAGGAGTAGGGGCAGCAATATTTGAGTAGTTATGACAATGACCTGCAGGTCTTCATAGAGTTAGCAATGTATGATAGGGAACATAGTTTCCCAGGACGTAGCTGCAAAATGTATTAATTAACACAAGGGACTGGACAATTAAGAGATGCCCATAAGAAAAAAAAAAAGATACCAATTATCTTTTAAATGAACCATGTCTTGTATATTTGCTGGAAATTGTGCAGTCGCTTACCTATACGGAGACTGGACCGACGTTGCCACAGTTGGCATGGCAGTTGCAGTAAGCATCTTTGTTGCTCTGGTCACAGCATGTGTTAGAGTAGGGCCACCCAGTGCTGAACTGGCTGCCTATAAAACATTAGATAATCATCCTATTAGGGCTTCTCAACTTCAACTGGAAAAACATTTGAGGCTGAAAACCCTTTTGCTGTGGCGCTTTGTGTGGGCACATCCCTGGCCTCTACGCAACTACCTACCCACAACTAGGGTATCCATTAGTTGTTACAACCAAAAAGCTCAGACACTGCCAAATGATCACTGGAGGCAAAATAAGTTCGAATCAAGAACTACTGCTAATAGATCCATGCTACCTCATTTAGGAACATTTGAATAGTTTAAATATATTTTATGATGATACATTTGCTCCTGTTTTTGAATCTCAAAAGCAGCAAAAGAAGAGCTTAAAAATTTATTAACATTTAGAAAATTCATGTCTTGGGCATCTTTTTTAAAATATGGAAGGTTTGTGAATTTGCACATCATCCTTGAGCAGGTGCCACACTAATCCCCTAGTATTATGGCATTGTTGTGAATAAACTGCTTTTGTTCTATTAATAATAATCTCACGTATCTTGGTGCTCCATCATTTGGTGCATGTGTGTTATTTCTTCATATTGTATTAGGTCCTTACTAGTAATGAATGTCCATTTCTATCTTTTTATCTTTTTAAATTGGAAATCTATATGATCTGAATACTTTAAATGTCCCATTCCCTTCATACCTATAAGATTTCTACTGAAAGTAATTGTAATAAAGGAAAAAATAAAATTATCAAACAACTATAAGCCAGAGATATTCTACAGGGGTGGGGAGGGTAACAGGATCAAAACTGGGGTAGTAACAGCACATGGGTGAACTGGTGATGGGAAGCTCATGGGGATTACAACTGAGATGAAAAAAATGTACAAAATGAAGAATGACGTAAAATACATATTTTAAAAAAATTTCTACTGAAAAGCCTATGGACAGGTCTAATTTGGTATTCCTCTATAGGTTACTGGTTCTTTCCCTTTCAATATTCTGTTCTTGTCATTGGTTTTAACCGTTTTTATTAAAATGTATCTTGGAGTATGTCAATCTGGTATTACTTTGGGAGGAATTCTTTGGGCTGTTGGATCAAACATCTTATATTTTTCAGAGTAAGATGATTCTAGTTCTCTGCAATTCTTTAAAATAAAAGTCTTCATTTTCTCTTTCTTTTCTCTTTCTGTGATCTCCCAGGTATGGATGATATGTCTCTTTAGGTTAGCCAAAAGAATTCTTACACTGTTTCCATTTTTTAACTTTTTTTCTCCTTGTTGTTCTTTGTGTGTGTTCTGTCACTGTGCTTCAAGCTCGCCAATCCTCTTTAGTACCTGCACAGCTGAGGCCCTCTAATAGATCTTTTAATTCACTTATAGCATATTTTTAGATCTTTTATTTCTAGTGGTAACAGTCTCAAAATTTTCAAGATCTTTGCTATGTGTCTATTTTTCATTAATCATTTTTTTTAATTCGTTAACAATGATTATAACTGTTTTCAGGCATGTTCTAAAATGCTGCTGGATTGAGACTTCACTCAGCGCTTTTTTGCTCGAATACTTGTGATATGTTCTTTTGTCTCTTCATTTTCAGTTTCCATAGGGAGTTTCCTTTCCATAATAACATTTGCTTTATACTTTTCCTACAAAAAGCTAGGTATAATCTTAGGGTTTTTTAACCCAGGATCTTTAGGAATTCAGTATTCCACAGAGTATTGCCTTTGTACCTGTTCAGATGACTGGGGTACTGATACTGGTATGGAGAAATACATAGTTCTGCTTAAGTTCTGGTAGAGAGAGCATTTAGCTGTTGTCTCAGTTTGGTCCAGTGTATGGAGTAAGACAGATGTTTTGAGTATGAAAACCTCAGGCTGCAAATTAGTCCTTTCTATGAGGAGACACAGGAGATCAAATCTAGTTCTCTCTATCACTTCAGGGTCCAATTGTTACAGATTAGGCCTCAGACTCAAGTCAGTAATCTATGATGACATATGTAGATGGAAGTTATAACTTGGGAAATTTTGAATGGATTCTAGCATGTATTTCTGACTAGAAAGTTTAAAACCTATTAATATGTGGGGGCAGCAGCATTTTATGGTTTTTGGGATAGTCTTCACTAAATATGAAACATAAAGCAAACACATTAAATATGTTTAACCATTTAACCATCATGCTGGAAATTAGAACTATATATGAGATAGTATTACCCAGCATTCTTCTAATGGACAAACACTAGCAATCCCATCTACTAATGAGTTTCCTTTTGTGACCTTTTAACAGCATTTATGATAAAAACTAGGTGAATTGTAAGGAAGAACAGGAAAAACAGTATGTACTTGCATAAAATATCTGGACAGGAAAGGGAGAAAGTAACCTACTTGAAATGTGGAATGTAGGCCCTTCCTGATGGTGCAATGGGTTAAGCACAGCACTATGAAGCTATTGCAGCCACTGCAGCATGAATTCAATCCCTGGCCAGGGCGGTGGCCCACATGGTGTGGCAGACCTCTTCTGATCTGTCTGCTGCTCCCCTCTCTCTCTCTCAGTGAATCCTCTCACCCCCCACACCTCTGGCCTGTACCCCAATTCTGTATGCATAAATAAATAAATCTTTAAAAAAAGAAAGAAAGGTAGAATATACAGCTGATTTGGTCTCTATACCCCAAAAGGGACATTTGCCTGGAGAGGGTAGAGGTGGTAGATGGAAAAGATTTCCTAAAAGTCTATATTAGAGATATCAAGGCAAATGTCTGTTCCCTATGCCCCAACATAATTGTGTCCATAAGTTTTATAATAGGATCCAGCCACATATACCAACATTACACATAATCTCAAAATATAAAATTATAAAAGGAAAAAACAAAACATTTAAAAAATAGGCTTAATAAAATTTGCTACTCACTTCTAATCTTGTGTAGCAATCAGCAATGAATTTCTTATGTAATGATACAGAATCCTGAAAAAAGAGGTATATGAAAACTGATTAATCTTGCATTTAGATGTACCATTATTAGGAACAAAATGTCAAAATGGAGTAAATTTGGGGGAATTTGAGCTTATCAATATAAAATATATTTAACTATCTACTTTTTTGTGCTTGAGTATACTCTTAGATACCCACCTTTTTTAACCTAGGGTTTAGATTAATATAGCTATAATTTATGATTAACTGAATCGCTTCATTAGCAATTTCTTCATCAGGTGATTCCATAGCTATTTTCCAAATGAAATCCATTCCTATCAATTCCAGTTTTTCTACATACTGTTCAAAAGAAAAAAAAAATGTAATCATAAACATAAAGGTCACAAAATTATAGTTATTTTCTCTTATAAGTTCATACCTACACAGTTCAATATGAATTAAGGCTGAAAAAACTAAACTACATATCAGAACATTAATGTGCAGATATAGATCTTTAAAACAAAACAAAAAAAAAATCAAGCACAAAAACATCTGGCAATGTATATGTGAATTAGAATAAATAGTTTTTGCTCCAAATATCCCTAAACCCAAAGCTGAACATCTACTCACACTAGTGACTGAAGCAGAAATAGCACAGAAATGAAATAGGTACCAGCTTCAGGAACTTTTCTCAGAAGAAAATGAATTCAAGCTAGAAGTGGTATCTTTGGGATTCAATCTGGCTTCCCAAAACTCCACTGGGAGGAAATTGCAAGATTAAGGGCTGGTAAAGTATTATAAAAAATTTTTACCACCAAGGAAACCAGATCTTAAATGAAACAATCTGGGAAAATATGTTACTTTGTGCCTTTCTCTTTTAAGCTGCACAAATAAATATAAAGGCAGATAGACACATTCTACAGATTCTAGAATGTTGCTATACTGCTTGTTTCTAAATTTCCCCCCAAAATCCCTGCTCTGTAACCCCAGAACTGAAGATGCTGTTACTTCTTTAGATACAAGTAAATTGCTGGATCTGAGAACTGGCAGTTTAGATGGCATTATCCCTGCTCTGTATTTACCTAGCATCTGAGGACACTGGCTGCCCAGGACATTTGAAATGTCAGCTTTGCTCTCTCAGGAAGTTGGTATGGCAGGGAACTGGAAAGGGAGCATCATTACCCTCAAAAAGAGCTATCATCAATGTAGAAGACAGGGGTCAAGGAGATGCTGTTTTTTAAAAGTAATTCGGATTTTCTCCGCATTTTAACATATTTTTGCTAAGAAACAAGTTTTACCAGATTATATAAATATCCAGGTTTGAGAATAAGACTTACCAACTGAGCTCCTTGCCTTTTCAATCGATGATCACAGAGATTCACATTCTCAAAAAACGTCTTAAATAAGTTAAAACCTGAAATAATAGAATGCCAGATAAATTCATGCATTCTAAGTGAAATAATCAATGAAAATAATTAAGTATTTCATGAATTAAAACTATAAAACCCTAAGAAAAAGCTTAGATATAAATCTTAAATAGTTTCTTAGATATGGTACCAAAAGAGAAAAAAATTGGACTTCATCAAAATCAAAAACTTCTTTGCATAAAAGAGCTAACGACAAAGCGAAAACCCATACAATGGAACAAAATATTGAACAGATCATATATTTGATAAGGAGTTAGTGTTGAAAATATATAAGAAGATCTTACAACCCAACTAAAAGACAAATAAACCCAATTGAAAAAAGGGCATAAGAGCTGAATGCATGTTTCCCCAAAGAATATATGCAAACGACCAATAAACATATGAATATACATATCATTAGTCATCAAGGAAATGCAAATCAAAAACATGAGATAGCACTTCACATACACCAGGACAGTGAAAAGTAAAAAAGATGGTAACAAATAGGGAGAATATGGAAAAACTGGAACCCTTATTAAACACTGGTAGCATTATATAATGATGTACCCACTTTGCAAAAAACTGATCAGCAGTTCCTCAAATATTAATTATATGATATGGCAATTCTACTCCTAGGTACACGCCCAAGAGAACTGAAAACCAGCATCCACAATAGCACACACAAAACACATATGTTTACAGCAATATTAATAAGAGCCAAAAGTGGGAATAATCCAAGTGTCCACCAGTTAATAAACAAAGTGTGCTATATTCATACAATGGACTATTATTCAGTCAAAAAATGGAATGAAGTGATACATGCTACAACCTATGTGAACCTTAAAAATATGACACCTTAGTAGAATGAAGAAGCCAGACATAAAAGGCCACCCACTGTAGGATTCCATTTACAGTAAGTGCTTAGATTAGGCTAATCCAGAAAGAGAGAACATACACTAGAAGCTAAGGGCAAAGTAGTAGTGGAAAGTTACAAAATCAGTACAGGGTTTCTTTTTAGAGTGATGAAAATGTTCTGGGATTAGAAAGTAGTGAAGGTTACACAACACTGTGAATATTCTAAAAGTCCCTTATATCCTTATGAAAGTAAATTCTGCAATATGTGGATTACATTTCAATAAAAAATTTCAATTAAAAGTCTATCTAATGGGGGGTTATTTTTATGTTGATAAAGTTTTGACTTAAGTGAATCATTACTGCACCCAGTATTCTCATGGGGGAAAAGAAAAAAAAACAAACAGCTTGGCAATTTTAGCAATTGGGGTGCAATTTAAAAATTAATTAAGATACCTTCTACATGAAAAGAATTTATGTAATAGACATATATAACGATGTGTCTTTATATGTGTAAAAAAAAAGGTTTGGAAGGATATTCCAAACTGTCTGGTTGCTTCTGAGAAGTAAGCTTAGAGGAAAAGGAAAGAATAAAATTTCTTAATTGAGAAAAAAAATTTTCTGTTTTTTTTTCCTACCATTCATAGTGATTTCATATGACTCCAATTTAAGAATTTTCTCCTTGAAAAGCTGCTGCTGAACATCACTTTCAAGATCATGCTGCCCTTTTGTGAACCATTCAAAACACATCTGTGGATTAAGACAAATATCCTATAACTAAAATTCATTTCAGGCAAATACAGGTTCCAAAGTACAAAGGTAAATTATTTTTAATTCGTCAAAGATTTATATTGCCAAAATACCTCTCAAAACTGATGCTTGGAAATTTGCAACTAAATAAAAGAAATAAAGCAGTTACCAGCAATCTTACTCCTAGATAATAAAAATCTATACTAATATTTTCCACTGAATTTTATACTTTTACATTTGCTATAAGGTTTACCATATGATAATATGCTACTGTTACATATTTAATTCTTTAGCAATCCTATGAAGTAATTCCAATATACTATGTAATGAGGTAAAGAAATGATGTGCTGTTAGAAAACATCAAAGCAGGTTCTTTTGCCCTCTTGGCTTAATCTGTTTTCAAGTGTTTAGCAGTAGTTGTAAAGATTCCCCTGGGCATTATTTTTTTCCAGTGTTTCTGGTATACAACATCATTTCAGAAACTTGGGGGTTTTCTGTTGAAAACTTAAAATTAGTTTCCTGGGAGGGGAAAAAAAAATAAGAAGATGTATCTATAATTCTATAGCTCTACTTACATGGCAGAATTTGCTGTTTTATTTTAACAGTAGTATTAAAGTTACCAAATAACTCATTGTATGTAATACATAAACATCACAGAAACTTTTTCAGCTCATCAGTTACTGACCTAGCAGCATAAATCAAAACATGTTTAGAGGTTATTATTTTTGCCTTATTTTATTCATAATACCATCTCCTTACCTCTCTATCTAATTCACAAACATCCTGGCCAGTCACAAGACACTCCCAGATTTCCTTGGCACGATTCCAACCCAGATACAGAGTAGCTTCTTGCAAGAAAAAGGCCAGAAATTTTAGATGGGCCTCTAAATACTGCAAAAAGATGCAATACTAAATTAGTTAGCTCCAGGCATTTATACCTAAAAACAAAATTAAAAATTTTAAGGTTAAAAAAGTTTACCTAAAAAAAAAAAAAATTACCTAATGCTTTCTTAATAAAATTTAGGGTATAGGTGAGAAGTCTGTTTACAAATTGACAGTACAACATAGCAGAAGTTACTTCAAATCTGTCATAAAATCGGTTGACTTTAGATGACCAAAAAAATTTCAGTAATTTCAAAGTACAACACCAAAATACAAATGGTGCGATAGTTTTCTAACTTAAAAAAACCAAAAAAACAGAACTAGGGCTTCCCTGGTCACCTAAGGGTGTAAGCCTCAGTGCTATCACCACTAAGGCCTGAGTTCCTGAGTTCCGGGGAGGTGATCCACATGGCAAAGCAGACCTCTCCTGTCCACCTGCTGCTCCCCTTAGCAGTGTTATTTCAGTAAATCTGCCTATTCTTTTCCTTACTCTGTTTCTGGTGAATCCTCTCACCCCTGCACCTCTGGCCTACACCCCAGTTCTATGCAAAAACAAATAATTGCTTAAAAAGTATTAAATAAAAAACAAAGTTACTCATCAATTAATCTGAAAAACAATTTACTACCCTTAAGCTGAATAATTACTTCAGATCAAAGAACTTTATTACTTTATCATAAGCAGTTTCTTTTCTTTTCTTTCTTTTTTTATTTTAATCATAAGCAGTTTTTAAGTGACTTACCCACAAATCAATTTTCTCAATTTGTATTATAGTCAAGATACAGGTTTGTTTTATCAATATAAAGATATCTACTATCTCTTTATAATATATCTAACAAACCTCATTTTATATAAGTGAAAAAAGAGCAAACGAGACAACAATCATAAGACAAAAAGCACAATGCTGAGTACCTCCCGGTAGGTGTACCGGCCATCCACCAGCGTGCAGCCGGTCAAGCCTCCGGGTCCTGCCATGGCTGCTGCAAGTCGGTGACAAGCGATCAAGCTTCCTGTTACCAGTTTTACTATTTCAAAATTTTTCTTCAAGTCTTGAATAATGCTCTTGGCAAAAACAATTAAAGGAACACAGTATGAGAATTTGGAGTTACGTTACTAGTTTAATGCAAGCTTCTACTTTTAGCACAAAGTTTGAGGTGAGGGATAGCAACAGGATTTCTTCACTCATATCTAGGTAAAAGTACATAAAATCAATGTGGTATGTACATTTCCCAGGGAATTAACAGGAAATGAAAAACTTCTCTGCTAATTTTTTGCTTCTGTGACACTCTTTTTAAAAAATGGTGTTATAAAATCATCTATTTTACGGCCTGTATACTACTCAAGACCTTTCTTTCAAGTCTATTACATTGGGAAGCTAGCTCTAATCTCTTAGGCAAACTAGTCTTTTTAGCACTATATAATTAACATTTGAACCTTTCAAACTTCTAAAATACCCTCCTAACTTTTCAAAATTGGCTCATTTCAAGAAATTTAGGGAAAAAAAAGAAAATGAGTTAGGGTTACAGAAAAAAAAAAAAAAGCCCTAAGGGCATGAAAGCAAATGATGCTAAAATCAAGATGAGTAAATAATATAAATGTACTACATTAATAACCATAAAACATAAAGTAGTAACTATAAAACTCAGCAGTTTAATTCATGTTCTTTTATTATAAAAGATTATGCAAGTAATTATATAATAATCAAATACAGTCACACTCTTACCTTGTCTTGCTTTTGATAGGTTTGCTTTATGAATGAGCGGGTGATTTCATGGAGCTGACGCAAAGCTGGTACCACCCATACAAACTGGGGATTGTTAAGCTGGGATGACTACAGAGTTAAAAAGAAGCTGCATTAATTAAATTTAGAAAGTAATGGCTGGCTAAATTTATTAGCAATAAAAAATTTCCAAGTTAATTAGGTTTTATTGTTACATATATTTTTCTTCCTACTCTTCACTTATAGCTTACTTATCTCCATGCATTCATAATCCAGTCCTCAACTGTTTATTCTGCATGCAATTTCCTAAAGCCAAACAGGGGTGGATGCGAAGTGACAGTAAATGTACAGGGGTACATCAGCAAAAACAGACAAGGAATTAGCAACTTCAGAGGACAGATTAAGTAGCACAGGCTGCTAGGACATGTTGACATAAAAATATAAATTGATGGCAAAGGCTTAACTTGGATAATACTGAACTGGTTGTTAAAATGGTATAAAATAGGGTTTTCTGTAATTATATGATTAAGATATGAATAGTTCAAAATACTGATGTTAAGGAAAATATTCATGATCTGCTTATATTTCCTAGTTAAAACAATTATTATAAGAAATAACTATTATCATTGTCACTTTATACTTATACTTCATATTTATCAAAAACACTTTCAAATCTATTATTTCTGAAACAGTCCTGACATTTATAGTATAGACCCGTGACATCTGATGTTCATGCAATACTCTTTAAAAAAGAAATTGCTTTTTAGTGAGTAGCATCTTTTGAACAGTCAGATTAAATAATTGGTAAATTGATCAATTTTCTTAAAAAATTGAAAGTTGAGCACCTTAGCATTTATTTTAAGGCTGAATTTTGTTTTAAAACATTGTCTTGTTTCTTCAGTCTCTCTGTAAAATGAAGAGCCACTTGGGATGGAAAATACTTTTTAGTATCTTTTGCAGAAAAACATACTACTACTGAGTATGTAAATGTGAAAGTTATTGCCAAAATAATACCAGCTTTCCTAGCTTTCCTATCAATCAGCAAATACTATATTTCCTAGATTCTAAGATAAAGGTTTCAAAAACTTAAAACATTTCTGAAGTTGACCTTTCTTATGATTATATCAAAAGAAACTTACAAGCCTCTAGGCATAGAAGTTTTGAGATAGCTTTCCTTACCTGAGAATGTACAAACTTAGCTATATATAAAAGGTATCTGCTCATCTAGTTGTCATTTTCATCATTACCTGGTAAAGGTAACACCACACAAGGATGGTTCTTTAACTTAAATTTAGATCACTGATTTGCCCTTTAAATGCCATAAAAAAAAATACACTACCATGTACTGATTAGTCTATTGTGTCCTTCAAATCAATTGTGAGCAAAGAAAACTGTCAGTGGCCTCAGACTAAAGCATCTGCAAAGTTAGGAGATTTGGTATGACAGACATACCCTGTAAAGGGCTGTGTCAACTCAGTACTAAGTGACTCTACAAAGTTGTACCTTAATTCAAGAGAAGCTATATAACTTATATACAATTCAAGTGAGGGAAAAAGCAGTTTGATTTATGAAAAAGGGCAAGATACAAAACTCCATATTCTTCACATACCTCAAAATTATACAGTAAATTTTAAAGGTTTTAAAGCGGTCAGAAGCACTTCTCTATATAAAGACAAGCAGTGTGCCCCAGTGAAGCTGTACAGACTTGTTAAAGGAGCTATATTCAAATTCTGATTGTGAACCTAAACAAATGAGTTAAATGTGCAATGTACACTTTTGTTTTCTTTTTTGCAAACTTATTAAATTTGTGATGCAGGTTCCAATCACTGGTATCTGAGAATCAGAGAAATAGGGTATCTATTAAAGGCTAACTACTTGTGCAACTAGCTAGAATATTTCTGCTAAAACAAAAAGTTGCAAAATGACAACTCTAAGTTTAAGCTTAAGTTCAAACTAGTACTTTCCAAAATAGCTACAAACATTAGGATATAAATACAAACTCTTTAGTAAATAATCAGATATATTAAAAAGTATGACCAGTTAAAGTCAATTATGGTTAGAATATTTTTATTTAACACTGAAAAACATCCCTGAAGATAGTTCGTTAGCCAATAAAATTAAAAGAAAAACTATGTAAGATTTAAAAAGTACTTCTGATACAGCCTTTCCAAAATTTTGCAAACAGGAAAGATGTTATTCCCATAAGAGCTATAACATTACGCTCCTAAATTATAAGAGAAATTTAAATTACTCTGTCTCCTCCTACAAAAGGGGCAAAAGACTAGTGAGCAATTAAAATGAACACATCTGATAATGTCTGTTAATGGAGCTCAGGATTCAATAAGTAGGAGTTAGTAGAATGCCCAAATTAATTTCTTAACATTAAATGAAGCCTTAAAAATCAACTCTTTTAGCCTGAAGACAAATGTATAATTGTCCTTACTCATTTTTTGTTAAATGACTAACCTCCTAGTATTTCCAGAGGAACTCAGAAGGCAGTACATTCTATTACAGACTGTTTTTACAGAAAGCTCATTTATTTGCCATATTAGAAACATGCCTCCCTATTATTTCTTAGGAGACATTAAAAAAAGTTGAAGCAAACTTCTTTGTAACAATCCTTTACATATGGAAAGAAAACGTTCATATTTTTCCTCAAAACTACAACCCCACTACCTCACCTATTTGACTAGGCCTACCCATTTATCTAGAAGTAATGTAAAAATGTTTGCATGATAGGAACATTAAAAAAAAATCTCCTCTTGTGTTAACCAAATCACTAAGAATTTGTACTGAGGGTATCTTGCTACTTTTACTTTCAGTTACATGTCTGAAAGGTAAAAGTCAATCAATTATAGACAGGTAATGATTTTAGTGTCTTCACAGGGTGAAGGGAAGGGTCAGTAAGAGGAAGGGGACCAAAGTTTTCTGAAGGTTGCCAGGCATGTGCTATGAGGTCTTAAGAGAAGGACTGAAGGAATATGCAAATACTACTAAAAGAGTAAAAATGTTTTTATTTACTTTTTTGGTTTAGTATGTTTTTTGGGATGAGTACATTTAAACTTTTAATTGAAGGAAAAAAAGAATTGAAATAAGAGGGAGAGGGTTGGGGGTAGACAGTGGTAGGCATAAAGGAAGCGAAAGAAAGAGGACCAAGGGAGCCAAAGGTATCCTGCAGAATCTACAGAAATAAAGTTAAGAAATAAGGGTCAGAATTTCTGAACACAACAATGGAACTTGGGATTTTAAGAGTCTCAAAAGCAGAGGGAAAGGGAATCAGTTCGGGGAATAAAGGTAGCTAAGGATGGGAGGGGAGTAAGAGGTGGGTGATCTTGTCTTACCCTTTGCTTAGTTTCTGTGTAGCCTGGCAGGGAGACATAATCCCCAGTCAGCCCACCTTGCTGCCTGGCAGGAAAGGGCATAGCATAGAAAAACACCTTTAGTGGCATATATAATTCACCCCCCTGCCTGGAGTCATATCCAGGGGGCTTGTTCTTCCCACTGCCCCCCTTTAGACATGTGTACTTTAAGAAAGCATCAGTGAAACTACTTAGTACACTGAAAGATCTATGTAAATGCAAGGTATTATTATTTGGAATGAAATACTGGTACATTAGAATTGTTTCGCTGGGAGCAGTGGGAAATAAAGGAAGGGCATTCCTTTTGAGTCTTACAAAATGACTCCAAAAATTTCCGTTATTTTTTTTAGTTTTGCTATCAAACAACAGATATGAATGAAGTGATTGCAAAGAGAAGCAATAAAGATGCAGTGATGCTGCTGGAAGAGCTAAGCAATGCTTAGCTGTAACAAGGCAGGAACAGAGGTCAGGAAGGATTTTCTGGTTGCAAAGGTCACTTCCCTGGAGGGGAGGGAGAAAGCCCCTTCAATTTCTGACCTTCATATCTATGAAGAAATGTATTTGTTACTGAGAGAAGAAAAGACTATTTTTCTATAGACACCCTTTTCCTCTAACTGTTAGCATTGATGGATCTAAATTTAAATAACTGGATAAATTTCAATCATAAGGACAAAGACTGCTAAATTATCTGATTTACTGAGCTGAGAACACTGGAAAGATTCAAATTACATCTGTGTAGAAAGAAAGCACTGTTTCTGAACTAAAGGAATGATTCCTTAATCTGAGTAGTAACAACTCCAGTTTGTGAATGACTTAAAATCTCTAAAATTAGATTATATGCAGAAAATTCATTTGACTAAGTCTCAATGTCAGAAATACAAGACACCAAGTTTCTAAATGTCCCAAGTTAAATGTCATGACCAAATGTAGCTAGAAAGAATAAAAGCCAGAGAACCAAAGCCTCTTAACAGCTGATAGTCTCTGAACACACCAATGAAAATTAGCATATTCAGAATCTCTTCAAGAAACACTAATCAAAATCAGGAAATACGTTTTACCAAAGAAATTACTAAGCCACTAGCTAATTACCAAAATGTTTTCTTATGTTAAGAATAAAATAAATCCCCTTTGTTACGAGGTTGAACAGCTGGTCTGAGCCACCTGAAGGCAAATGGGAGAAAGAGACGCTGCTCTGCTAGCTTGGAAGCAAGTTCCTATTACTGGTGACTGACCATTCCACTCAGAGACAAGTCTCAGGTCTGAACAGCAGACCTATGCTACAATCCTTTCAAAGGACTCCAGCCCACTGCTGAAGCCAGAGCCCAGCAAGAGAGGGCCTGCACAGCCCCAGTTCTTGCAGTCACAGCCCGATCTACATTCTAAAACTGAGCTCAGCAACAGGTACTCACTTAATGACCATTTGTCTAAGAAATCCCTTTCAGGCCATATCTGCATCAAGCACTTGAAAAAATGACTTTTTGCCAGCATTAACTAAATGAACCCCCATTTCCTTTTTCCTTCTTTCTCACACTATGAATGTTCTTTCATTTCTCCTAAGAAAAAAAGAACTTATTATTTAGAACCCACTGTACTTTTTAAATGAAAAATGAAGTTGAAGGTCTTGTATCTTTATAAAAGCACTATAATAAAACCATTCAATCTTTGAATGAAGCCCTGGATTTGTTTTCCCTTTGCAAGTCAGTAACTCCTCATAATTTAAATAACAAAGTAGAGTTCTTAAATGAATATTGTAGTAGTTTGTATCTAAACATTACTCTAAGAAACACTAAAATATATTATTATTTTAAAATTATGAAGTAATTTATTAAAATGATTATTAAATTAGTGTATCTTTTAGTTGGTTCCATCTACAAATTCTTACCTTGAATCCATCTTTCTTATTCTTTTCCAAACCTGACCATTCTCCAGGCTGAAAATTTATTTTAAAAGAAATATAAGTGACTTGGTAAAAGCAGTACCTATAATTTCCCAACCTTGGACTCTTAAGTTTAGGAACTTCCAGATAGGACATTTAGTGTAATTTAAATAAGGGGAGGAAATAATTTGAATCTAATTACTCAGACAAACCTACCGCTATGACAACAAAACTGGACCAAAGATAAAACCGACCCTTTTAATATCTTCTATGCACTTGATGATGTAGCTCCTCTTGATGGCTTCTCTCACTGCATATGTGTCGCTCAGGATCGTCAGGTGCTCCTCCAAGGCTTGCTGAATGAGGCTACCGGGCAGGGTCGGGAGGTGAGCCAGTTCCCACAGTACATCTAACACCTACAATGACATCACATATCATGAACCAGCCAATACACAAGTGAAACTGTTTTAAGTGTTCATAGCTAGAAAGATTCATTTGCTTTTCCTGCCTTTCCGGAAGTGGTTTCCAAGCGAGCTTCCCGGCCTATTCGTCCGATCAGGCTTAATAGCTTCTGTCGTACTCTATCACTCTCAGTTTCCCAGCTCTGTGGAAAAGAAAAAGACACAGGGATCACTTCATAATACAATTCTTAAAATTTGCAAAAAAGGCAAAGATTGTAAACTTAATCTAAAAAGGTTTCATAGAGTACAACTACTACTAAGTTAGAGGGAAAGACCTCAAAGTGAGTTTCTTTTAGAAAAGCTGAAAAACATATTTCACTTAACACATACCTTCTGAATGAGAACAAACAAATGATTAAGCTGATCTGAATTAAACTTCACAGCTGCTGCAGCAATAATTGTATGGATGTTCTCGATCACGGTAGATGATTGTCCTGACTGGAAAGGAGACAATGGGAGAAAGGTAAGTCTTAGAACATGAAAAAACTAAGTTTTCTGGAAAATTTATAGAAGGAAAAGGAAAACAATTAACACAGATACATTGATTCAACGTTTACTTGCACAGTAACATTGGTGTGACTACATGAAGCAAGCACTGTTAATGGTTATGAGTTGGCATTTAAATTCCTAGCAACAGCATGTCTTCAAAAGGACAATGTAAAAAAGAGGAGAACCAAGTTCTCATCTTGAGAACAAAATATTCTCCATTGCTAAAAGAAATTCAGACTTATTAGAAGACATACTCACTTCTAACATTTTAAAAATCACCTTGAGGGTCTCAATTGAGAGTGAGGTGTTTTTTGTTTGTTTGTTTGTTTGTTTGTATGATGTCAAGATGACTTATCCTATAGGCACTGAGTTTCTGCTTCAGAGATGCATACATTAATGTAGGGGCATACAATACATCCACTGTGGTTCCTAAATCTTCAATCTTATGGAAGTTCAAAGCATATTTACAAAATTATACTTAATGAAGGTGAAGACATAGGAAGTAAAATATATTGGCCCTGGGACTGTGCTCTTTTAGTCTTGTGCCTAAATTCCTGTGCTCTGCTGTGTCCACAGACTGTTCCTCTGTCAGCCATCCTCCTGGTCCAGCTGCCAATGAGAGGCAGTGCTGGGAGGCAGAAGGCCAGAGAGCTGGCTTACACTCAGGAGAAGTTGCCACTGGTGGCCTTTCCAGATGCTCCAGTGGCAGTGGTACCTCGTTGGCAATTCCAGCACCTGAATGAAACCAATCCCCAAAACAGCTTGCTTTCTTTGGACTTAGCACTCCTTCTTTACTGCTCAGAATTCACTCCTACACCCTAGCAACACTTCTGTAAACAATCTCTGATATTCACCTTCCTATTTTAAATACCTAGCAGTTTCTGCTACCTGACTAAATTCTGACTGAGATAGAACAAAGCCCAAATATTTGCCAAGTAAAAAAGAGTAAGTTAGTAAAGGAGACAGGAAGGAATACAGAAAAGTGGGACTAAAATCAATGCCACAGTGAAGGGAGAAAAAAATGAAGGGTAGGGTCAATTATGTTACAGCTGATGAGCGTTCTGGGAAGATGAGAGATCTACTGATAATCAACCTATTAAAAAGAACACTGGGCTATCAACAACAGAAATATACCTATATAAATTCCGCAATAATGGAAAGACATGATGAAACTCGAGGAAAAAAGTACAGGAAGACACATATATATTTCCATTATATGAGGTATCTAAAATAGCCATTTTCACAGAATCAAAGAGCATCATGGTGTGTGGCAGGGACTGAGATATAATGAAATGGGGTATTACTAACCACTGGACATTGAGTTAAACAGGACGAATAAGCACTAAAGATCTCCTTTACACGCTGCACCTTTTTTATTGTGCAACACTGTACACATAATACACACACATACACATTCTAATGGAAACCTTGAACTGTAAAACAAATTAGGATTGAGCTCTCTAGTGAATGCCAGGCAGAAGTTCTATTTCCTTGCTCATCCACCAACTGCCTCCCTCTTCTGTAATCCAAAAATGTCAGAAAAAGGCAAAAACAATTCTGATCAACTTACCTGTATCTTCCAAATTTTAGTGAGCTCATCTAAAGACAATTTACTGCCCAAGAGTTCAATGATTCCCTTTATACGATCACAGTATTGTGCCTGGTCAATGTTGCCTAATAGAAGAAATAACAGAGAGGAAGACAAGACAGATTAAGTGAAGACTACTGACACTCTCAATACAATTCTATTAACTCAATAGTAGTTTCCTATAAGGTTATTTAAAGGCTAACATAGACAAAGCAACAATTTTTACATATTTTATAATTGTTAGGTGACATTTTTTAAAAAGCAACTTACCTTCCAACGCAATCGACAGAACTGAGTTTTCAACTAGCCAATCTAATAATCTGTCTGTATCTATAGCATTCTTCACAGATTTGGATAAAGTGCTATCTTCTATTAGCTTGGTTACCTAAAAGACAGGATTATTATGATTGAGCCTAGCGTAAATATGCATAATCAAAATCTTCATATTTATACATTATTTTCTGTGTCTTGTGCAGAGTTACCATGTAGTCTGACAATTTTGTCTTTAGAAGTTAACAGATAGTTGCGAGCCATTCTTACACACAGCTCTCTGGGCCACTGCTGACTGACTCAGGATGAGCATCTGAGCCAAACTTCAATCAAGGCATAGCCTCCAAATTCTCTAGCTGGGACCTTAGAGAAAATACCAGTCCTTCTCTGGTGTCGGGAGCTATTCACAGCCTTAATGTCTACAACATGAACGTCACTCTGCATGTTAGAAAGGATGGGGCAAACATGTTCAGAAAAGCGGAGACAAGACTTGAACAGAGTCCTGGCAGCAGTCAGGTATGGAACTCAAGGTGCTCCTATTGCTCACATGTATCCATGCTTTTATATGTTTGGCTAGTAATCCTTTATTCATGTGAAGTTGTCCAGGCTTCTTCCATTAAATTCTTCTTTTGGCTTAAAATGGATCAAAATCAGTTTATTTCATTTGCAGATAATAATCCTAAATATTAAAACTGAAGGAAAATGGGAATTATGACTGAACTGTATTGTGTCCAGTTGATACTCACTAAAACCAAATAAACTGTTTATATGAGTCTCTTAGCAAGTTTAGGAAGCTATTAAAAAATGATATCATTTTGCTTAGATCTCACAGTTAAAGTCATTTTATTTTTGTTGCATTTTAGAATCATACCTCTTTTGCTATGACTATTAAACTATTATTATTTCTCAAAATGCTTATAATAACTATAATCATTACGAGCTTCTGCAGACCTTAGAATACCTGTGCTTACAGTCTTCCAGCAATAAGTGCCAGACTTACTTCTTTGAGGGAGTTCATTTTAGCACTGAAATGTGGTGACTTCAGCATGCGCAGCAGGATGTCTAGCCGCAGGTCGTCCACAGTGGTCACCAGATCCGGTTGGAAGCGCATGCACAGCAACTTAATGGCAGACAAGAGCTCAGGAATGCTGACCAACCTCTTTTATTAAAAACACACACACACACACACACACAGAGAAACAAAAATGAAACTGTAAAAATGTTTTGATTTCAATTCTTACGACACACAAAAATAAAGGATATTTTCAAATTCAATGGTCTGGTGGTATTTGATACTCCATATAGGCAATAACTTTACATTTTGTTTCTAAACAAATATTAATACTTGGATGAGAAAAGGTAAGATAAGGGTCCTATAAGAAATTCAAGGCAGACAAAGCAAACTATATGCTAAAACTGCTTTAAATAACTTTGAATAAGCATTTAGTATATTAAGTTATTTCAAACTATCTCAATGCTACGCTATTTGTAATACTATCAAAATAATATTTTAGTAAAATTCTGAATGATACAATCTATTGAGCACTCTATACTCTCTCTACAGACTGAAGAAAGACCAACTATCAGTAATCAAGAGAGAACTATTTTTGATTAGGAAATATAAAATTCATTTGATGTAAGTTGTATCTGACCAGAATACAAAGATGAGTAGTGTATAAACTGCTCCAAGTCCTGACTCTTGATCCATGGACTAAGAGGGGTGGTGGCCTACTTGGCTGGAAAGAGCCTTTACCTTGTCTTTGAGGTCCTTTTCTTCCACGCTCCGCACATCCTGGATTGCAGTAAGGATGACTGGGTCTAGCATGGGCTGCAGAATAAAGTGCTACGGTTAACAGGGACTCTTGAAGGCGGTGCAAACTAAAAAAAGGGGACAGGGATACTTTTTCATTCACATTTCACAAAGGAGAGGTCACACTGTAAAGATCTGCACTATAGTATCAGAGCTGCCAAAAACTAGATAATACCACCCCAAGGAAACCATCAACTCTGTGCTTCAGCTTTTAAAAAAAAAAAAAATCACATGGGGGTGCAAATGCTATTATTTTATATGGGTATTTCTGAAAAGCAATGAAAGACATCTGGACTAACTTTTAAAACAGCAAGATTTAGTATATCTTACTTTTTTAATTAAGTTAAACATTTCACATTTGATTTCAAGAAATGAATCCAAGCCCAGACCATAAAAGAAGATGCCCTTGTACATTACTACTTTTACTGGTTGAGATGCACAAGGCTTAAAGATGAGACTTATAAGACAACCACTCTAAATACCATGTGAGAAGTAGTAAAATAGTAACTAGATCTAAAATGCTGGTTTCGGAAACCACACAAGCTGGAAATGGAAAACTTCAGAGAGGTGAGGTCACTTTCACTGACTGGCCTTCAATTGCCGGTGCTGTTTTCCAAAGTGCCTGAGATGACATCAAACTGCATGTGGGGGGACCACTGCCTTCCCGCTACCTAAGATACCACTACTCTAAACATTAGAAATCTTCTCGAGTAGCTAAGCTTAAGGTCTGCTTCAATTTTTAACCTTCATTTTTCTTGCTTCCACAGAAAAATCTGTTATTATTGTTTATATGATACAGGCTAATCTTTGAGACTCACGTATAAGATATCTTCCAGAAACTAGACACAACTTTAAATGAGCTTACCAAAGTTCCACTTTTCTTCTCCCAACTGCCTCTGTTTGAGTTAAGCTATTTCAGATGGCATCTGAAGCCAAGTGTCTGAGTTACTCAGTCATGCTTGGTCTCTCCCTGGTATTTAGGAGGTACACATGTTATTACTAGATTTCTTTTTAGCTTTTCTGTCATATCAATGAAAATTCTTTTTTAAGCTGATTGATATATGTAATCAATATGTATGTGACCAGGTTACCACACTCTGGCTTCTCTTCAGATCATATAAATCTTTCTCCGTTTATCACTTTATGGATGCTCAGTTACAGATTACATAATCTTCCAAAGTCACACAAGCAGCAAGTGATTGAGATTATTATCAATCTATGTCATACACGATACTATGAATAAAATGTAAATTTACTGTTGAGTGAATTTAAGGCTGGGTAGTCTGATATAATTAAAGGTAAAACTAAATAAGCTTTGCTTTGAAATTCCAATAAATTTATTCTTTTACATGTACACTATACCACAAAAATCTGACAAAGGGCTTATATCTATGTCATATGAAGAGATCATGGAATTCAACAAAAAGAAAACAAATAACCAATTCAAAAGAAGGGCAGCAATTCCCAGAACTTACTGAAAAAAGGTCCTATTTCCCTTGTGAAATGGTTCCAAGTAAATCAGATATAAGAAGGATGGACTAGCACATACAGAACTAATACTCCTAAGGACATATGCTTTCAAAACCATTTGCAGTGATTAAAAGAAAATCTGAAAAAGTGAGACTTCGCAGACTTATTTATAAAGAAAATAATAAATGAAAGTTATTTCAATATGACATTTTATTCAGTAAACTTGTTAACTGGAATGGATAAGAAATAAGGAAGTGTTAATAGGCAATAAGCACAGAAAACTGAATACTCAAGAGCTTTACTATTCTTCCACCTGTTCATTTATAACTTGTATTGCTATGAAATCAGATAAGGTGTGCTAGTAAGCTGTTATTCAGTAGCAAGTGACTTAGCTACTAAGTTATACTTAGTATACTAAGTATACTTAGTATACTATACTAGTGGAAAGCTCAATATTGATCTAATTTGTACAAAATGATGGCGAATTCTTAAAAATTCCATGAAGGAGTTAGAGATATATGCCACCTATTTTACAGCTATCAAATACAGGTTATATATTTGAAAAATGTTAAGCTAAAAAAGGTAAATACCTTTAGTGTTAGAAGTCACTGACAGTAATCATAATTGATTTTCTAATAATATTTTAATGACAATTTTAATATTTTAAGATAGCTAATCTAAAAAAAGGTTACTCTGGATTAGACAGAATTCTGAATAGGGGCATAAAAAATATAACTGTTTTTATATCTTAGGTTACCTTCTGAATTAAATGTAAAATGCCCCATCTTACCTGTACCACTGAGGAATTGAGGTATTCTGCACATACTCCTAATGGCTGCACCAATGCTGAGACTGCCTGAAAAAAGATAGTGGAAGTCTGAAATAATGTGAGATGGTTTTATTTGTTTTCAACTTTAAACTCTCTTTTAACAAATCAAAGAAACATTTAAATGATGATTTGATCACTCAAGTCATGAATGAATGACTAGATAATTCTACTCTTGAATAAGAATTCATATAAAGATGCCAATGCTTGATTACTAGATATTTTTTTTGGAGGACTGGATGAAGTGATTCTAAAGTTCATAATGTTAAATGGTAATTTTTCTGAAAAGGTGTGAATAGATGGGGGAGGGGAGAAGTGAAATGTCCTTTTAAGTAAAATAAATTTTTTAAAGGTCTAAATAATTAAGGAAATACTATGTTCCCAAATTGAAAGGGCCAGTGTTGTAAAACTATCAATTCTTCATACAATGATCTATAAATTTAACACATTTCTGAACATTGTCTTCTTTGTGTAGAACCAGACATGTTGATTATATTCAGAAGAGTAAGGATATGGTAATAAGAAAATTTTAGAAAAGAACTAATCTGGGTAGAACTAGCACTATCAATAATTAAGAGTGGAGCAATAATGAAAGGGTCAAAGAATGAACAAATGAATAAATACATGAGTGAACAGAAATGAATAATGAGTGAATGGAAGTCCAGTCTTATGTGTATGGGATCTTAATATATGATAAGACCAACAAATCAAAACAGCAAAGAAAAAATGGATTAATCACTAGAGGATCTTATAATTGGTTGTCCAGCTGGATGAAAATAAAATTGAATCTCTATCTTACACATATATAAAAATAAATCTAAATGAATTCAAGAACTGTATATATATTTTTTCAAGAACGACTTATAACAAAAATCAAACAGTAACAGCAAAATGAAGCTCGTACTTTTATAACCTCAAGGTGAGGAGAAATTCCTCAAGCAATTTAGAAATATTTTAAGCCATTAAGGAAAACACTGAATGAAGTTTTTGAAGGTTCTTCATAAAAAAGATACCATTAAATAAAATGAAAAACAAAACAAAACCAAAATATTTAAACACAGAAAATAGACATGACATTGCTATAAAAGAATTCAAAAAAATTCAGACAACTCCATAAAACCTAAATAAAGATGTCAACTTATAGAAGAAAGGTAAACAGCTAGTAATAGTGAAATATTCAAATTCAAGGAAGTGAAAATATCATAAATTAAGTAGCAAAATAGCATTTCTTATACTATATGCTGGAAGTAAGCAATGAAAACATTTAGCACTGACAAGAATAGTAAAAAATAAGTTTCTGGGAGCTCGGACTTGTACCAGTCATTTGGAAAGTGTTTTAGTACTATCATTTGTAATGTAAAAACATATATAGTTTTTTTAACCAGAAATCTCATTTCTTAGGAATCCATCCTTTGAAAGTGAAGCACAGGTACATAACGACAATTTTATATGGAATACGCTCTTTAATAGCAAAACTTAGAAATGATTCAGTACCCACTGATGAGTGACTGCACAGTCAACATTTGCAGGAATGCAGTGGAGTGATAAAAATATTGATAGGAGGCCCTCCCTGGTGGCGCAGCGGGTTAAAGCACAGCACAAAGAAGCTTAAGCCACTTCCGCATGAGTTCGATTCCCGCCTGCCCCTGGAGGAGACCACATGGCGTGGCAGACCTCTCCTGACCCGCCCGCTGCTCCCCTCAGCAGTGCACTTCGTCGATCTGCCTGTTCTGCACCCCACTCTGTCTCTGGTGAATACTCTCACCGCCCCTGCACCTCTGGCTGTACCCCAGTTCTGTATGCATAAATAAATCTTTAAAAAAAAAATACTGATAGGAACTAACCTTAAAAGATAATCATAAGGTAATATTAAATGGAAAGAGGACAATTAAGTTGTAAAGAAAAAACATGCGCAGCTATTTTATATAAATTTAAGAAAAGTTAGAAAGCTTATGTATTAAATGGGTTACCAATAACCAAGAAGGAATGGAATTGAGAATTAACGTTTTTTCCCAGTATTTTTCAGAAATCAAAAATAAGTAACTGAAGTAAATGTAAAATGAGTACACTTAACTTGTAACGTCTAAACACCTAAATTGATTCTAGTATAGTCACTTTCTTAACTGGTCAGAAAACAAGCATATATTAAGAAATTTTAATCATACTTGTTTGGTAAAATTAGATTTTCAAACTTTGGAATCTCTCCTATACCCGAATTTTACTTGAATACAGCCTAAACACTATAATTCTACAGGAACTGCACACACGACACAATTATTCAGAAAAGTGTTCGGAACTAAGGGAGATACCCTAGAGAAGGTTTTAACTTCAAGACATGGTAAAAATGAGGTTACAGCTAAAGTCTTATAGTCAATTTTCTACAAGTAGGGTAGAAACTTTGGGCTGGCTGAACTGTATTTTTTTTTTTTTTAATAAATTAGCTCTGCAGCCAATTAGAAAATGTGCTTAACTTTTTTTTTTTTTAAATGAGATTCATTTGTTACTGTCTAGTACTCTATAATGTACAACCAGTTCTTGAGATACAGGTTATGTGGGGTAAAACCTTCTCTCTGAATAGATTTTCACTCCATTTGCTTTTAAAGTCACTACCTTTTATTTTCCAGGACAATAAAGCCATTTCTAGCAAAACTTTCTCCATTTATAAAGTTCAAAATGACAGACAGATTACTTAGTTAACTTCCAGGGCAGGTAAAAAAGGCTCCCTGAACTGATGGGTGTCAGAAGTTCTTTATGACCGGCAGACACCTGATCTTTAAGGATAAACTGTGTGGCAAGAAAGGATCAATCTATTACCAAAACCATCAGTCTCTTTCCTTAATTGCTGCTATTTTTTTTGTCCAAAAATGGCAGTGTACTACAGAAATAACTACTACTTTTCTAAGCACAATCAACATTACTTAGATCAGTATTCTTAACATATAATTTTCTGTTCTAATCCAATTATCATAGTTAGCAGTTTCTTACACATGGCAAGTATGTACTAAATAGTTTTTAATGGAATGATTAAATAGAGAACCAAGCACCTTCAGTTACAAGCAGATCAAATGTCAGTAAAAATTTAAAAACTAATCTATTTTCCTTATAACAAGGTTAAATTTTCTTCTTTTTGAAAATGAACTTGATAAGAAAAATAATGGATTGCATATAAAGGTTAGTTTTATGCTCATTATAAAAACTTTGTTTTCTATAATCTGTGTAATATCAAAAAACTTATAAACAACCTTAAAATATTTTACTTGTGCCTGGGATTATGAAAGAAATTCTAATTTAGCCAAGTCATAAAATCATCATGTATATACTTGCCACACATAACAACAGACTTTAACTAGCAAGAAAATACCATGTGTATCACAATTTCAGAGAAAATTACCATAGATAAAAGGGAAACTGGTGAGGTAAAAAAGTCAAAACCCTACACTGAAATTTCATTATGGTTAAGAATAAATACGTTTTGGATTATCAGAGTCACAGAATCTGTCCCATGGAATAACTTGATCCTGTAAGTTACTGTGCCCAGACTGTGTTCTATGGGTCACAGAACAACCTAAACAAAGTAAGCATACACATTGCGGGCACAGAGTGTTTTGACTCACCCCAAGTTCTATATCTTCTGAATGAAGCTTGGCTTGGATTGCTGCAAATCCACCTAATTCACCAAACTAAGAAGAAAAAACACCCAAATTAATTTTTATATGCTATTCATTAATAACTTAAGCAAGGATAAAGACGAGCATTCTACCTCTCACTATGGGTTGTAATACTAGTCTTAAGACTTGATGCGTGATGATTCTAATGCCCGTGACATGCTGCAGGGGATATGCTAGGTTTCAAAGCTGATGTCTGTCTGTCCAAGTGTACTGACAAGAAGGGGAAGGAACTATAAAACCTATCTTCTTGGGGATATCTATCTTCTGCTGTCATTTAGTTAAATATCAAATCCTAGGGCATCTCCATAGAAAGTGGAAAACAACTATTAACAAAAACTACATACCTTATTTACCAAATCCACAACCCATCCATGAGGCTCCTATGAGAAAAGAAAATAGTAACTGAGATAACAAAACACTTTCCCCATCAACTCTTAAAGCATTTCAGGTTTTATGTGGCAGAAACCTAAGGAGTAGTGAATCAGGAATAAAGAAACTAGAGTTTCAATCCCAGCTGTACCATTAACAAGTGGTCAGCTCTTCCTTTTGTCCTCCGTTCTTTCCTACCCTAAGCACTCAGTATTCTTGGGGCTGCATTCAGAACACTAAGTAGAGATGCAGCACCTGCTTTCATGGAGCCCATTTATAACTGGTTCAACAAAAACAAGTAAACCAAGCATCCCTATGATAATTCAGGTTGCGTAAGTCTTACAAAAAGGTCCTCACATCAGAAATAGAAGGAATCTACTCTGTTCAGTGTGGTGGGCATACAAAATCTCTCTGAAAAGGTCACCTATAAGCTGGAACCTGAAAGATGAGACAGACTTAGACTCTAAAGAATACCCCATGCAGAGAGGCTGAAATGGCCAACACCCTGTCTGGGGAAGGCAGCCAAGAGCCTCTCACTTGAGGAACTCCGAGGAAACTCTCCAGCTGTGGCATGTTAAGCCCAGGTACAGTAGCACAGATGAAGATGTGGCAAGAGGTTAGGCCAGATCACGCAAACACATGTGAAATGCAATTAAAAGACAAGCAAGTAAACTGATTCATGTAAAGCTTTAAGATGACTACTCTTGACAGATATGTGGGGAACAGAATGAAAAGATTGAATGGGAGAGAGAAAAGTTGAGGTGCCAGCGAGGTGACTAGTAAACTAGAAATGATAGGAGAGTGTTTAGAGCAGGATGGCTGCAGAAGAGCTAGAGAGAAGTCAGCTGTTGTATATTAGCGATTAAATAAAAAAATAAGCTGTAGATGACTCTTATGTTTTTACCTTTAATATCTAGATAGATGGTGATGCTATTTATTGAAAAGTTGAAGACTGAAGCTAGGGAGACAAACGGATTTCCAATTTATGCACACACAGTTTGAGGTATCTCTGTAGCAATCAAAAGGAGATGGCTGATCATAAGGTACAATAAAGACAAAGGAGTAATACATGAGCAGGTGGAGACATTCCATGGTCTTTTAAGTTCTCAAAAAATAAAGATTGAGGAAATATAGTTGTGTTTAGTTAACCAAAATATTTTAGGGTAACCACTAAAAGATTAACTTGGAGGATATGGAATATTTCATCTAACATGGTGAAAGGGGCAGAGACTGTGCTAGAGAGGCATGTGACATCAAAGGCAGAATTTTCTTAAAGGTGGGAAACTAGACCATGTTACATACAATGGAAATGTTCCCACAGAGAGGAAAAGACTAAGGATACTAAAGGAAAAATAGAAAACCTAAGGATTAAATGTTTGAGAAGGTAAGAGGAGAGGGGGCTTTGTAGGAGAGAATTCCCTTCTGGAATGAAAGGAAATAGAAAGACTGAACTTTATAGGTCTCAGTTGTTACATATATAAATTAAGGGGAAGTAGGCTTTCCCTGGTAGTACAACAGGTTAAAGTGCAGCACTATGAAGCTATTTGCAGCATGAGTTCAATTCTCAGCTCAGGAGCTGACTCACATAGCATAGCAGACCTCTCCCATCTCCCCTGCTGCTTCCCTCAGTAGTATATTTCAGTCAGTACACCTGTTCTGCTTTCCACTCTGTGTCTGGTGAATCCTCTCACACCCCGACCCCCCCCCCCCATACCTATAGCCTGTATCACAGCTCTTGTATGCATAAATAAATAAATCTTTAAAAAAATAAATTGAGAAGTGAATGAATGTATTTTGAGCACTTACTATAGTGATCTACTGTGTTCAGTGTTTTCATAAACATCTGTCATTCAATCCTCACAACAAAACTGAAGATTGTGTTATTTTGAGAGGTAGGATTATATATAAAGAATGCAGGCTCTGAGTGAGACTGAGTGGGTTCTTCCTGTAATAGGTATGTTAACTGCTTTTCATCTATAATGTGGGGTTAAAATACCACCAAACTCATCTCAGTGCTGTCGGGATTAAGCACCATGGTAGATATTCACTGCCTTGCTGCTCAGCTCTTACTTCTTCTAACCCTCCTAGATGGCGATAACTTCTTTCCCCGTATTTATGCATTACACATATTATAACTGCACCTATTTTTTATTGTATTATATATTCCTCCCCATGCTCTATGTTAAGAACCATGTCTTTCTTTTTATGGGGGTGGAGTGGGAATGGGGTCAAAAATGATGGGGGGAGGGAAGTGCACTGGACTATGGTGAAGGCACATGGGTGACTTGGTGATGGGAAACACACGGGGATTACAATTGAGATGAAAAAAAATGTACAAAATGATGTAAAAATAAACTATTATATTATAAAATAAAAAAAAAAAAAAGATTAAAGGCCCTCCCTGGTGGTGCAGCGGGTTAAGCACTGCACTAAGAAGCTAAAGCCACTTCAGCATGAGTTCGATCCCCGCCTGCCCCGGAGGTGACCACATGGCGTGGGAGACCTCTCCTGACCTGCCCGCTGCTCCCCTCAGCAGTGTACTTTGTAGATCTGCCTATTCTGCTCCCTACTCTGTCTCTGGTGAAGTCTCTCGCTGCCCCCTGAGCCTCTGGCCTGTACCCCAGTTCTGTATGTACAAATAAATAAATCTTAAAAAAAAAAAAAATTAAAAAAAAAAAGAACCATGTCTTTCTACTCTATATTAAAGCCAAGGAATGTTTGTTTATACTTGTATCTCTACAACCTAGAATTATGCCAGACACACAGCTATGTTCAATAAGTGATTGTCAAACTAATAAATTGACTAAATTGACTTCCCTCCATTGTTTCTCAAAAACCAATGTTTGATAAAAACATTGTTTAAAAGGAGATTACAACTGAGATGAAAAAAGAACAAAATGATGTAAAAATAAACTATTATATATAAAACATTGTTTAAATTATGACTCTTTACGGGCATAACGTTATTGGCACATTATAGACCCTTACATATAAAGACACTGGTCCTGCACTTGAAAGAACATAAGATTTTTGGTTTTGCTTTTAAAAAACTTTTGTTCTTGGCCCTCCCTGGTGGCGCAGCGGGTTAAAACACAGCACTAAGAAGCTAAAGCAACTTCAGCATGAATTCAATCCCCACCTGCCCAGGAGGTGATCCATACAGGGTGGCAGACCTCTCCTGACCCGCCCGCTGCTCCCCTCAGCAGTGTACCTCATCCATCTGCCTGTTCTGCTCCCCACTCTGTCTCTGGTGAAGCCTCTCACCACCCCTAAGCCTCTGGCCTGTACCCCAGTTCTGTATGCATAAATAAATAAATCTTAAAAAAAAAAAACAAAAAACTTTTGTTTTTAATGCCTAGAGAGTTTAAAAGAAAATTATAATGAGATTACTAGTTTATTTTTTCTAGGTATAATCAGTCATTTCAAATGCTTTAATCTCTCAAACACCTATAAGAAACAGGGATTAAACGGGGGTTCTGATAATTCAATAAATAGGGCACTTATATAGTTATTTCCCACATTACTAAATATTTCAAATCTATAAAATTCTCATTAACAGCTGTGGAAAATATGCAAAATATTTTAAAAAGTTAAGTAATTTTATAACAAATAATATGTTATTTTTCAGATGGTTTTAATCCTTTCACTTAGTTGTCATTTATATAACACAGAAAAACTTATTTAAAGCATTTTCTATAAACAGATGAAACAAAACTATATTTACCTTTTGGAAGGTAGATACGGGTGAAACAGCAAACATATTTCCCTCTCCAAACACTTCTGCCCAATTCCTTTGAGATACTTTCATTCTGTTTTTAAAATGGTATTCATTATCAGGATTGAAAGCCTAGATTCAAAGAGAACAGTGAAACATTATTATCTATTTCTATAGCAACACATATTAGCATTAGAAAAGAAGATAAAAATACAGCCTTGGGCTCCTTCACTAATGGAATCTTTCAAGTATCCCAACAAAACAAACTGCTTAGGAAAGCAGAGGAGCAAGGGACCAGAACGATGCTCTCCAGTCCTGTGTGGTATGCTGTCAGTGAAGTGAGGTGCGGTCCAAGGCAAGGTGATGCCAACACAACAGATGCCCAAGGCTACCCCGGGCAGAGCGGGGCAACAAGGCAGTGAAGACAGAAGGAACAGCCCTTCTTCTTGCAGCTACTGTTACTAATTGGGGAAGGACCAGGAAGCAAGCCATCTGGGTGTAGTATGGAAAAATATTTAAGATGTAGATAATCAGGAAAACTATCCCATCATACTAAAAGCTGACAAAGTTATTAAAATTAGAAGGTATACAGAATACACCTTAATGAAAAGCAAGGACCCTCAGGGCTAAGTTACTATCTTCAATGATAATCATTATCACTCATTAATTAGTAGAGAAGGTATTTTAAGCAAAATCAAACACACAGCACTTCATTTTAGAGATACTGTACCATGGTAAGCACACCCAGGAGGCCAATGGGGATTGGATCTTGTTTTATTCTCTCTGCAACCAGTTCTATTAATAGCATCAACATGTTGTATATTCCTTCATGAATTTCAGTACCCCATTTGTGAACAGCACTTGATGTCAGGAGCTACAAAAATACAGAGAACATTATAGAACCTAACTTGAAAAGGAAAAAACAAAGTTTACAGCTACAGCTGATCAGTTCAACCTTTCAGAGTTAAAGGATACTATCACAACACGTATTTTTATGTAAATGACTTCCCTGAAAATTTATAAATGTATACCCTAAAATTTATTCATTTGTTCCACAGTCAACCCTGAGGTTTGTCTCCGAATTTAATTCCCTCACATAAAGCAGTGTGATTTAATAAAAAGGTCTTTATCTGTCCTTCTACTTTTCATGACCACTAAAGGAGGACAAGTGGTATAGAGAAAGAGCAAGCCCAAATCAATGCATGGTATTACTGTTTCCTAGCTGTGCAGTCTTGGAAGATTTGCCTGAGTTCTCAGAGGTTCACTGTTCTTATCTTTAAAGATCTAACAGATGTGAAAAGATCAGAAATATCAAAAGATCTAACCAATGTAGAAAAGAGCAAAACATCTAACAGAGGGGCATTTTACAAATAGTTTCAATATTATTATTACTAACATATCCTGACTGTCACTATCAATCAGTAGTTCTAGAGCCTAAATTTCATGAAATCTAATATATGTATTCTCTTTGAGATTTTATCTCAGAACCAGTTCTGCAATCTTCCTCCTGTTGCTCAGATGACAGCAGGACTCTGAATATGAAAAAAATTTTAAAAGCAATTTATCAATTTATTTTGCTGTGCCTTCCTTTTCGATATGTATGAAGGTAATATTCCATTTTTTTAATGAACAAACAAATCTAAGGAAATAGTTTTAAGTGATCCGGCATTACTATTTTTCTTAAATAAAAACATAAGCTATAATATAATTGTATAACTCAGACAGTACCTCAAAATTTATCAAAAAGTAGGAAATAGGCATCTAGCTGCATCATCCCCACTGGATCTTGCCAGTACTTGGAGAAGTCTAATTCAAGGACAATTGCCAGAATAAGGAAACAGAAAACAAAGGATTTCACCTAATAAAATAATGCAAGTTGGTATGATGGTTTCATGGTTTTGTAAGATTTCCCTTCAAAGGGAAAACACTGTGAAGTAAAATTTCCACCCTGACCACACTGAGAACGCTTTAACATAAGTTGGCCAAAAGAGTCAAACTTTTTTAGTTACAGAGGAAAATCTCAATTCCAGATTTTTAAAATACCAACCAGCTGCACTATTTGCTCACATGAACAATAATCCTGAAACTGATTTTAAAGAAGCCAATAAGTTACTATTTTTTTTTTGCAAGAAAAGTAGTATGCCTAAAAATTAAGCAATAAAGCAAAATGAAGCATAAGTTAATATTTAGGAATCTTGATGAATTTACAAAATAAAAATTTATGTATCTAAAGCACTAATCCCTCTGGTGACATCTCCTTTGTTTTAAATTATGAATACAGAATTCCATCTACCTTCCAGAAAAGGTGGAGAAAGACAAGCAACACCTATGGGGGAAATGCCAGAGGTTGAAACATGAATTCTGCCTTAAATCCTGGGAAAGAATCCAGGCAGGTCTTTTGTGCATCTTATCCATGCAGTTGCACTACATAAAATCACTTTTTTATAACTTTACTTCTAAAAAATCATTGAGGCAGCTAATACAAGTGGCCTAGCGAAGACGATGGAGGGAGTCATCCTCCCGGGACATGCTAAAGGAAGCATCACCCTTCGGCGATACTTACAGTCTTTGGTGACAGTTAAAAGGACACAAATTTTGGCCC